TGCCGCTCCCGGTCGCCCCGCGGTCTCCGTGCGCCGCCGCGCTCCGCCAGGCCCGCGCTGGTTGACCGCACAGCCGTGGGAGCTGAACGTAGCACGACTCGCGACTTCACCAGGCTACTTCCCGGCCCCGCCCCGGCCTATTGGCCACGCCCCTCGGAACTGGCCCGCTCCTGCCCCGCCCTATTCCGTAAAGCCGTCTCCAGGCCCCACCCACTCAGCCGATGCCCCGCTCAGCTCACCTGAAGCCCCGCCCACTTTCTTCACCGATGCCCCGCCCCACAATCCTCTTTCGCTCCTTCCCCAGGAGGCAGACCTAAAAACTCCAGAAAAGGATCGGGAAACAGAAGCAGGCACATTGCGCTTGCGCATGGGGAGGCCGGAAGTCGAGGCGGGAGTGATTCTGCTTCCGTTTCTAGTTTTGCTCCAGTGTTTGGGTTTCTTCGCGGCCGCCCAAGATGAACCGATTCTTCGGAAAAGCGAAACCCAAGGCTCCGCCACCCAGCCTCACTGACTGCATTGGCACGGTGAGCACTTGATCTTACTTAAACAGGCTCAGGGCCTCTGACAACCCGACCCCACCCACCCCCGGCCCCGGACTCCCACTCATCCACCCCATTCCCGGTCCCATTACACCTCGGCCTTCTCCATTCTACCTTCGTTCCTTCATTCCTGTTACCCAAGTCATTTCTGACGCCACAAACCAGGGACAGGTAACCCCATCACTGCCTCGCCCTGCCTGCAGCCAACCCGTTCTGATGCCTATTATCGCGTCCACTCGCTCTCACCTTGATCCCCTCACCCAACCAGCCCGAAGGCCATTCACTCTTCCCACCCTGTCCAGCCCAACCACTTACCCCTCTTCCATCCCTCATCCCTTGCCCATGTTAGGATTCTCAGTTTAATATCCTAGGTCAACATATCTGTACCTCAATCCTGGATCTCAGTCACAAAATTTAGAACCCTAGCCTCTCAGATTAAGCCATCAACCCCGATCTAGGTAATAGCATTAGATATACAGTCTTAGCCGGTGTCCACTGGACACTGGGCTATTTCATATGCCTCCTGGAAATCTCAGCTCAGCCCAGTGGTTCTCAAAATTTTTTTTTGAACCACTGTTTTCCATCCATCACCATATGCTCCTCCTTATTTTTTTTCTTCCTCCATTGCAATAATTACCAATACATTTTCCCCCAAGGTGGACAGCAGGGCAGAATCCATTGACAAGAAGATTTCTCGATTGGATGCTGAGCTAGTGAAGTATAAGGATCAGATCAAAAAGATGAGAGAGGGTCCTGCAAAGGTAAGGTTGGGGGCAACTGCTGTGGAAGGTGCTGTGACAGTTTAATTTGAGCACCTATAGAAATGGGTCCTTGTGGTAGGGGCAGGTGAAGGACACAGCAGAGAAGCTCATAGTCTGATAAGGAGAAAACATATGTGAGGATGTGTCTTTCAGGGAGGAGAGTTTGTAGCCAGATATGGGAAGGAGGCTTGGATTTGAACTGGTGGAGAGAAGATGCTTATGACATGTACATGGAAATTAGCATATTCTACTGAAAAGGTGGCATTCTGGAGAGGAGTGCTACCTCCTGCTCAAGATCAGTGAGTTTCCAGGCTGGTCAGGTTAGGTAGGTGTAATAGACTGGTTAAGGAGTGGCATACTGGGAAAAAATACTGATCGAGGTATCTGGGACCCATGTTCTAATACTAACACCATCACTACTTACTAGCTGTGACCTTGATAAAGTGACTTAGCTAATTCTCCGCTTTTGTTAGGTAGGAATAGGAATACTGTGTTAAAGCACATGGACTGTTGATATAGAACTACCTTGTTTTTCTCAGCTTCGTAACTTATTAACTACATGAGCCAGGGCATCATTGAACCTCATTTTCCCATCTGTAGAATGGGGATAATACCTACTTTATAGTGTGAGGATTAAACAAGGTAATTAATATGACCTGTATAGTACTCAGTAAATGTTATTTATGGTCTGCGAAGTAACAATATCTGCTTTTCCTCCCTCATTGGAGGACACAAATAAAATGATATATAGAACAGTATAGAAAGGTAAGGTTTTTCCCATCCATCTTAGTTGATGATGTGGAATGAAGAGCGACCAGAGGCAGGAAAGCCCAAGTAGACTTGAGATGAAAGCCCAAACCTTGATGGTAATCCTGAGAATGACATGAAAGGAATCGGTTTGTAAGTGACTTCTGAAAATCAGTAACAGGATGACTGCGCATGAAGAGACAACAGAGAGAGGAAAGATGAGGTTGATGTAAAGGTTCTCAACATAGAGAAGTAAGAGACTGGTAGAGCCACTGTTAGTTATTTCCAAGGCAGGATAAGGTTGTGCATGGTGAGTTTGGGCATGAGTTTGAGTTGATAGCAGGATATCCAAGTGGGGAATCTCCCTAAGGCAACTTGATATATAAAATTGGCTCTGTTGGGGTGGAAGTGGAGATAATATGCATTTGGAAAAGAGAAAGTAGTTCAGGACACTGAGATGTGGGATGCAAAGACAGATAGGAGCTAAGGCTTAAAGACTGGACCTTAGAGATACCTGTGCTTGAGAGGGGAAGAACAGAATCCAGGAACCACTGTTTACTACTTTGAAGAAGACAGTAAGTATGTATGCAAGTTTGAGGATATGGGAGATTTCTTTTACCATATTTATGTTTTTCACTTTCTTTTTATTAAATCTGGTTTTTTTCCCCAGAATATGGTCAAGCAGAAAGCCTTGCGGGTTTTAAAGCAAAAGCGAATGTAAGTTATTTGTATAATCTCCTTCCCTCTAGCAGGTTTAACCAAAAGAGAAATGGTCTTCCATTCCTTCAGGATTTCATACCATTTCCTAAGCATTCTTGATTTAATTACAAATTTTCATTGACATGTAATTAAATAAAGTTAGCTGGGTTAATCCCCTCTGCATGTTCAACAACATCTGTTTTAGCACCATCTGTCTAAATAGAATTTTTTGCTATGATGGAGATGTTCTATATCTGTGGGACTAGTACAGTAGCTGTTAGATAGATGTGGCTGTTGAGCACCTGAAATGTGGCTAGTGTGACTAAGGAACTGAAGTTTTAATTTCTTTTAATCTTAATAATTTAAGTCTAAGTAGCCATATGTGGCTAATGACTACTGTTTTGGACTGGCCAGATCTATAGTGTTTGGTTCTCCCATTATTTATTTAGTTAGAATGTGCCTTTTGGGCCGGCCCATGGCTCACTCGGTAGAGTGCGGTGCTGATGGCACCAAGGCCCCGGGTTCGGATCCCATATAGGGATAGCCGGTTCGCCCACTGGCTGAGCGTGGTGCTGACAACACCAGGTCAAGGGTTAAGATCCCCTTACCGGTCATCTTTTAAAAAAAAATAAAAAAGAATGTGCCTTTTTTGTTTTTGTTTGTTTGTTTGTAAAGTTAGGAATCCTCTATATTTTTTCTCTCCCACCAGAATAGATTTAAGTGTCTTTAATTTGTTGTTGATGACTATGTGCCAGTGTTTGAGCAGAAGCCAAATAGTATCTTTGGTGCTTAGCCCTGTGGACTATTCAGCTAGTGAGATCCTTTGCAGAGTTGTAGAGGTCAAGTGTAATCAGCTAATAGGGAACCAGAAGATTGTTTATAACTCTACTCCTATTTTTTTTCATGGCTGGCTGGTTTGGGGATTCGAACCCTTTGACCTTGGTGTTGTAACACTGTGCTCTAGCCAACTGAGGCAACTGGCCAGCTTCTACTCCTATTTTAAAATAACTTTTTATAAGGCATCAGATGCCATCTTTCTCCTTTAGATTAGATCAAATTGCAAAAAAAATTATAATGCCTAGAGTGATAAGCGTATTATAAAATCATTAACCTTCTTAATCAACGGCATTGTAATTTTTAAGTAACTTTTTTTTGTTATAAAAGGCATTTGTTCATTGTAGAAACTTGGAAATTACATAAATATGAACAGGAGAAAAAAAAATACTTAGAGTCCTACTACTAGAAATAACCACCTTTAAAATGCTAATTTCTGGGCCGGCCCGGTGGCGCACTACTACAGTGCGCCGCTTGGGAGCGCGGCAGTGCTCCCGCCGAGGGTTCGGATCCCACATACAGAACAACATATTTTGAGCACCAGACATTATGTTAGGTTAGATGGATTACCTAATTGTGGGTAGAAGATTAATAAAATATAATACCTGTCCTCAAAGAATTCAGTCTACTGGAAAAACGTTTAGCTATGTGTATGAAGAGCCTTAAAAATGGTCTTATCCATTGCCCCAAGAATTCTACTTCTGGAAATTTATCATAGGAAATAATTATAAGGACATATATTAAGATATATTAGTAACATAGAAAAAAAGCAAGTGCTATATAATGTTAAGTGGAAAATAGTGTTAGAAGTAAAATGCATGTAAAGGAAAAAGACTGGAGGGACACATCAAGTGATATTTGTGTAAGAGTGATTAAATTGCTTTTGCCAATTTTTCTGTATATTAGTCTTTGTTTCTTTTCTATTTTTTTTTTAAAAGAAAATTCTCTTCTCTAGTGTTAGAGATATTTTCTTCCTGAGGATTTTTATATGGCTCACGTTTACCATTCTCAATTCACTCTAAAAAGGTACGAGCAGCAGCGGGACAATCTCGCCCAACAGTCATTTAACATGGAACAAGCCAATTACACCATCCAATCATTGAAGGACACCAAGACCACGGTACTTCCAAAGCACCTTTTTCCATTATCATTTTTTTTTTCTCTTGTGCTCTTTTCCCTTGGTTTTTTAAAGATAGTTTAACCAACAGGACTTCTTAAGACATGTTTTCTTCTACCTTATTTTAGGTTGATGCTATGAAACTGGGAGTAAAGGAAATGAAGAAGGCATATAAGCAAGTGAAAATCGACCAAATTGAGGTGAGATGTATGCTAATTTCTGCAAGAATGTGCGCTAGTTTCTGAAAGAATCCAAATGAATGTGTGTGTGTTGGGAAGAGCACAGAAGAGGGATTGAATTAAATTGCCATTTACTAGTAGAGTAACTTTGGGAAAGGGTACCAAAGGTCTGTTTCCTCATTGTTGATGCAACGATCCTAATAACACATATGGTTATTATGAGGATGAAATAAATGAGCTAGTATATCTACATGCACAAAGCCTGGCACATAATAGGTATCCAGTAGTTACTTCTAACTCACTTAATGATTTTAGTCTGCTTCCTCAATTGTAAAATAGTGATGTTGCTGCCTGTCTCCCAGGATTGTCAGGAGTGCTATGTGAGGATATGTATGTAAAATGCTTAACAGTTCCTAGCATAGAGTTCGTTTCCTTTTCTAGCAATTCTATTTAGATTTTTAATAATAATGTCATTAGTTCCTTAAAATTAGCA